TCTTCGTTCCCAGCGTCCCCCTCCCCACTGAAGCCCTGAGAAATGTGACTGCTGTCTCTCCCACCCGCGTACCGTCCCGGTTCTGGTCTCAGAAGTGGTACTGTCTTCTGTGTATTCAGCACAAAGAAACCCTGAGATCAGGAAGGTATTTACAGAAAACCTGTAAAAGATACAAAGTCAGAAAACAAAACCAAGCAGAAAGAGGAATGGGCCAGAGGTGGGTGGGGTGAGGATCACAGTGTGGTCAGGCAATCGGGTGTGATTCCTGGCCGGTCACTCATGGCGCAGCTCGCGCAAGTCCTGATCTATTTTGTATTAATTTCCTGTTGTTGCTGTAATTAATGATCACCAATTGGGTGGCTTAAAACAGCACAGATTATTTTTCCTTTCAGTGAAGAGATCAGAGGCTGGAAAATGGGTTTTGTGGGGAGAAAGCTAGGGTCATCAGGGCTGCGTTCCTGCAGGTTACTTGTCGTCTCCACCATACAAGAAAGAGTGTAAAGGGCTGATAAAAAATATGATGTGTTTCAAGTAAAAGAAAACTTACTGCAGTGAAAGATACGTTGGCATTAACCCCCCTCAAAATCCCTCCACTTTGAACACACTTATCCCATTTTCTTGCCACTTTGGGGGCGCTTTCAGAAAGGGTCTCGCTATGCAGTTCAGGCAGGCCTTGGACTCACTGTGTAGCCCAGGCTGGCCTCAAATTCTCAGTGATCTCTTGCTTCAGCCTCCAGAGTGCTGGGGTTACAGGCATGCGCCTCCACACCTGGGTTCTTGCCACTTTCTGAAGCAGTTCTGGAAGTCCCCTTTCCTGGGTGTCTTTACAGGGTATAAAAAAGAATATGGGTAATGCTGACGCTGGGGCCATCCAACGGAAAGGCAGGCCTGTAAAAACATCACGGAGCGTCCTCATCTACTTCATTCACCAAACCTAGCGCTGTTGAGCATCTGGTTTTTCTCAAAAGTCAAAATGGCTTTGAAAGATGAACAGTTTGAATTGATTCAGGACACTGAGGCAGTCACAACAGCACAACTAAAGACCCTTGGGAAAGAGGACTCCAGAGCTGCTGCAGAAAGCGGCAAGAAAGTGGGATGAGTGTGTGTGAAGTGAGGGGGAGTGTGTTGAAGGGATTCACGGCAATGTGTTTTTACTGTAGTAAATTTTTAAAAATTTAGGCATTCACCATATTTTTTTATCATACTTCAAACATTATATTAACTGTTAATTCACTTCATGTTATGCAGGCTGGGGCTGCAGCTCTGTGGTAGACCACTTGCCTAACACATACAAGCTAGCCCTGGAGTCAGGTGTCTCAAATAGTAATACCATTTGATAAAAATCCAAAACATTTTAAAATGAGAAAGTTGGAAGAGATAATTAACAAGCCCTCTTCTATTGCAAATAATCCCTTCAGCGTTTAGCTTATGATTAGCTCTTGAAGTCATTGAGAGCTCCTATTGTTTAGCTTGGTGAGTACTATTCCCATACATGTTCACAACTTCCTTCCCTCTCACTAGAAGAAACCCAATTTGGCTGTGTGCCACCAGGATTGCTGGAACCTCCGTTGCCAAGGCTGCCCGAGCCTGGGTGGGCGCTGCTGCTTCTGGCATGGAGACTTTGTGCTGTTCCTACAGCTTTGCTCTTGGTTCATTAGGAGGTCGTCTTGCTGTGGTTCCTTCCAGTCCCCAGGTAGACCTGCTATTCTTCACACGTGGCTGCGCCAATAGCCCTGTCTGTCCCGCTCTTCCCCTCCCTCACTGCCACCTCCTTTCTTCCTCTCTGCTTTAAGCTCCTGCTCAGATTCCCGATTTCTAGGCTAGCCCTGATATTCTCTGTCACTTGACCAGTGCTTGTTGATTACACAGAGTGACGGTGCCATCATGGTATCTTCATACACGTCTATCATACTGCGATCAGGTCCGCTCCAGTGCCTCCCTCCCCTGCCCTTCCTCCCTCTACCTCCTTTCCACTTGCATGTCACCTCTTTTTTCTGCACATACGCAAAAACGTGTGTTACTTGTCTTTCTGTGTCTTACTTATCGAACTTAATATGTTGGTCTTCAATTCTGTTTTCCTGCAAATAACATGAGCTTGTTCCTCATTGTGGCCAAACGAATCTCCATCGTGTGCGCGTCCACAGCTTCTTTCTCCACTCACCTGCTGGATGGGCACTGACTGGGGCTGGCTCCGTATCTTGGCCGTGTGAACCATGCCGCGGCAAGCACTGACGTGTCGGGGTCTCCACAGCCTGCAGACTTCAATTCCTGGAGTGCGCACCCGGGAGCGAGATATTTGGGTCACATTGTACTTTTACTTTTGGTTTTTAATATGAGTTCTATAAATATCTGAGCCCCGAGATCCCTTATTTGCTTTGCAGTGCATTTGCTTGGGAGGTGTGGGAAGACTGGCTTGTTGAAAAGGTAGATTCCTGGTCCCGCAGAGTCTGGGCACAGTGGGAGCTAAACTTCAAACAACCCAGGTGTTCGGAAGACAACTGCAGCACGTGCTTCAAAAAGTGTTTAGGATTTCAATGAATGAGCTTCAGGGGATCTGTGAACCTTCAGAATTTTTTTACACTTTGTGTCTTTATGTCTATTTTTATTTTTCTAAGGGAGGTTTCCCTAATGCCCAACAGATTATGAAAGGAGCCTGTGATAGAATTTTTTAAAAAGCAATGCATTAAACTCTTAAATGGGGCTTTCAAATAAAAGAAACCTTCTTTGTTACTTGAGGACTAAAACATTAACTCAGTGTTGAGGTACCTGAATTTTACTGCACAGGACACTTTCAGATATAACACATATGTGCACAGATAATGCCTCTCAAATTGGTTAGGGACAGTAGACACAGGCACACACCCCTAGACCCCTACTTTGTTTCAAGTTCTACAACACCAAGGGTTAATGTCAAAGAGGCGGTGTGTGTGTATTCTACTGGAGGAAAGGGTAGTCCTGAATTCCACCTGCCATTTTTATGAGATGTCGCTACAGGAACTTTGGTTATGGTCTCTCATCTATCATCTTCTGGCTCTATAATTCTAGACAAGGCCTTTACTATTTCTGGGCTTCTGATGCTTGACCTCTTACAGGAATAGTGGCACGTAATCTTTCTGACGCAGCATAGGATTGTGTGATATCATGAAGCTCCCAAAATATAGGCATTGGTGCCGATATAGATACACACATATATATGTATACATAACACATACACAAAATATATAAGAGTGCTTAGCTAGGTCACTGGAAATGGAGCAGAGTGTAAAGAAATAAAAACACTCTATTATCACATCCCAAACAGTTCTCAGGCGGGGTCTTTTTGTTCATAAGTAAGAATTCAACTCATTTTAGCCGGACTTTATCTTAGGAAGGTAACATGTGCCTGATAAAACGATACATAAGCTAGGTATGACACACGCCTGTGGTCCCAGATACTTGGGAGGCTGAGGCAGGAGGATGGCTTGAACCCAGGAGAGGTGAGCCAACCTAGGCTACATAGTGAGCCACTGTTAAAAATAAAAAATAAAATAACATGATACATGCCCGTTTCGTTTTTATTTAAAAACAAACACTAGCTCGTGATACCATTAAGGTAAGAATTATATAAATAATGGAAAAATGCACAAGCACAGTGCTTCTATTTATATAAATAAAACATCAAGTGCACCCTGTACAACAGTTATACACTTCAGCAGTGTATTTTTTTTATATAATATGCACCTTTTATCACAAAATACAAGAATACCATGGGGCTGCTAGCCTCTAGGAGATATTACAGCATGGATACAGAAAACTGCAAAAATCAGAGTCGACTTGTAGATTTGTAGTATATCCAAGACAATGCTGGGCAAAGAACAGTGCCCAATAAATATGCATTTGTACAAACCTTTACCTTGTTAGCTACTCACAAACAGCTTCTGTGAAACGAAAAAGAAAAAGAAAGAGGCACACACTGCGTGCACCAACACAGAACCCAAAGTACTTGGAATGCTAACGAGAAAACTATGACTTCAGGCAGCGGTGCTAACAAGCATGTCGCGATGCCCAGTCCTAGGTGGCTCACTGCAGTCGCACAGGGTCTCTGTGAGGCAGCAGCTGAGTGGGGTCCTAACGATGGCAGGACAGGCAGGGGACGAGCCAGGGAGGGAGCAGGTTGTGCAGGCAAGGGGGCTGCTGGCAAGGAGACAGGAAGAGGGAAGAGGCAACCACAGGACCGGTGACGGTAGGAATCTGTGTGTGGGAAAGAGGGGGCTGCTGCCTGAGAGACAGCAGAGCTACCCCGCCCCATCCCGCACACGCTGTTCAGAACGCAGGGGTCCTGCCGTGACTCTGGAGGCCCTCCAGATGCTCCGAAACCCAGTAATGGGCGAATTGTTGACTCAAGAACATTAAGATTTCATCCGCAGGTTCTGTCTGGAAAAGAACAGTTCTGTGCACCCAGATTCAGTGTAGAGCCCAGAAAAAGCTCTGGGAATAGCTCAGGGAATCCCAACACTTTATATGAAATGTGCTTGTTGCAGTTAGAGGAAGAACACAGTGCTACAGCTAGCTACTGTGGTGCATACCTATGAGCCCAGCCACGCTGGAGGCTGAGGCAGGAGGATCATAAGTTTGTGTCCAGACTCTGCAAGACTCAGTCTCAAAGTAAAATTTTAACAAGTACTGAGTTATAGCTCAGTGGTGAAGACCTTGTCTAGAATGTGCAAGGCCCTGGGTTGAATCCTTAGTACCACCAAAAAAAAAGAGTAAAAATTGATGCACTATTTTGTGAACACTAAAATGAGACAGTATCTTAAGGCTTTTTAAATGATCTTAGTGTTTCAACACTTTTATTTTTAAAACTTATTTTGATACCAGGAATCAGACTCAGGACCTTTTGCTTGCCAGGCAGGCACCTGTGCCACTGAGCTAGACCCCAGCCCAACACTTCTATTTTTATTGACCTAAGTGTATGCCATTTGAAGTTTTGCTGCAAAAACCTCATGAAGTTATCAAATGTGTTTTTCAGTTGAAAAATTTATTAAGGAAGAGCCCTTAATATTTTTCTTGTAGCATGTAATTAAATGGAATGCTTCTTCCAAGGCATTCTGTACCAAGCAATAAACATAAGTATTAAATACACAATATTTAGATCACACGTAAAACTCACTCTTCGGAATATGGAAAAAAGCCATCTTTCAGTGCCTTGTTTTCCTGAAAAGTACTGACGGTGCAGAGTCCCGTGTCCTGCACACTGGAAAGATGGTTACGTAAGCGAGCACTGTGAAGGGTGCTGGTACCACAGTGCTCCCCTGGGGAACTGTACTTCTCCTATGTCAGTCTGTGTTCAATCCTCAGTTGGTCGACTTCTGACTGTGAAGGACTAAGGGTGACACCTGCTCTTTTCCAGGGCGGCAGACACAGCACTCAGGGCACGGGGCATACCTTCCGTGCTGCTCTTTCCAGGAAGAGGGTCATCGTGAACACGGTCCCTTGGGAGGGCGTCCTCTTGCTCTGTGCCAGGGCCCTAGGGCACTCCTGTTGGCCGCAGATTCCCCCCTCCCATGGTGAACATCTCCTCGAGACGGCAATGCTGTGGGCCTCTTCAGAGTTTGCTCTCCCTCTGCTCCCGTCTGAAACACTTGGAGCTGGCAGACCCTTCTGCTGCCCAGCGCGCTCCAGGGAAGGTGGTGCCCACAGGGTGAGGCAGGAGATCTGCATTCCGGGCCTTGGAGTGGTGCAGGAAGAGCGCACCCTCAGGGGCTCCTGGCTCTTAGGTTTTACATGGTAGAGCTGTATTTCCTGCTTTAAACGTTGGTGTTTGTTTCGCTGTCTTTGGCATGCAGGCCTCTATCTCCAGTGTGCGAATACCCAGCGTGAACCTCCGCCCTGGTGCCTCGCTGCCCTGCTTGCGTTTGTCAAGCAGTCACCCCACTGCCTTCGTTTATCTTCTTCCCTTCCAGGCAGGTTCCTCTTTGGCCCACCTGTTCCCAAGTTTCTCTGACTGTTGCAGCTCCTAGTCTCACCTGTTTTACAGCGCTGTGGTACAGGTATGCAGGGCCCATTACCACCCCCCATCACTCCAGAGAAGATACAGTACATCATATTGCCCATGTATTTCTGCATAGACATTTATTTCTCTGCTCTTTAATTACACACCTTTTTCTCTATGCAGTTTCCGTTTCTTTCCTAATCTTCTCTGATTACACAGGATTTGAAATGGCTTGCAGCAAAAGCAATACAGACAGGGCAAAGGACACTGTGCGTGTGACTGAAGTTTTGGCAGCTGTAGTTTAAAGGAAATTCAATAAGTTGCTTAAATCTCATTAGCGGTAAATATGAGACAAGCCTTTACTTGAACTCAAAAGTAACCCAAAGCTTTAAAGAAGGCATCACAGCAGGTATGTGACATAGGATACAAGTCCTCAGTGTTTTCACAGAGAAGACCAAGTTCTGCTGGAATGAACTTGTCTGTATACAAGAAATGGTTTCCTCACCACAGGGCAGAAGCCCACTAGGTGAGAGGGACAGAAAAAATGTTCCCACAGTGAGCTAGGGCTGATTGAAAGCAGATAGGACTGCAGCCCCAAACCATCAGCCAACATCTGCAAGCACAGCACCAGCCAGAAGTTTAAGGAGGTGTACTTTCAACACAGACGGAGGGTCCACCTCCAGGACCCATGGTCTGATGCCCTCTGAAGGTCAACTCATGTTCCAGCTTCTGCAGATCTCAAGACACACCGCTGCGAGGAGGTCTGCAGATGGAGTGCTACGGTTTGGATTCCCAGGGTCTCCCAGAAGCTCCCGGGTGAAGAGGTGTTCTCCAGTGCAACAGTGCTCCAAGGTGGAGGCTTTGTGGGTAACTGCATCCTCACACATGGACTCTTCTAGGACGTGGGTTCACAGCTTCACGGGGCACTGGAAGGTGGGGAGACTTTAGAGGGGGTGCCTAGGTGGAGGAAACAGTGTTGGGGGTGTGCCCTCCACGGGTATATTTTGGCCCCTGCTGCTTCCTCTCACAGTCTGTCTCTGACTCTCCGTCTCCCTCCTTCCCAGCTGTCAGGAGGGGGCTGCTTCCTCCACTACTTGTGCCCTGCCATGGCGTGAACATGGAGCCCAGAACAGCAGAGCCAGCCGGCCATGGGCTGAAGCTTCTAAAGCTGGGAACCAAGTGAAGTTCTCCTTTCTTGAGCTGCTTCTCTCAGTGTCCCACCCCAACAAGCACACCCACACACACCCATACACACGCCAGAAAGCTAGCACGCAAGCCGATGTTTCCTTTGTTCTTTTTTCCTGGCACAGCCTACTTCAGCAGATGATATCTGAATCATTCAGGTGTGGCTTCTCTTTAGAATATAGAGTGCAAGGCAAAGGTGAAGAAAAGGCAAAGTTACAGATGACAAGTTAACCTGACGGGGTTCAAACTGACCACAGGCAGATTAACAGGAGAAAGTCAAACGTCAACCCACAAGCAGGAAATGCACAGCACAGAAACTGTGCACAAACTCTGAGCCTCTCCACAGGGCCACACGGCTGAGTTCAGAAGTCCTCTAGCTACGAAGAGGAGCAGAACCTTGGATGGGAGGGCGGGAGTGCCCAGGAGGGTGGTGAGCCGAGCTGTGGTGCGTCTCGAGGTCCCCGCCCAGAGATGGCCTCAGAGCAGGTGAGTCGCTACTTCACCCTAAGGCAATCATTCTGGAATTCTGCTACTGTTCTCCAGCCCTAATAATGATGGGCCCCAAATTTCAAACAGCTTTTAGAAAAAGGATCTCCCACATAAACAGAAGGCAAAATATTAATATAAACCAGTGAATTCAATCCTTAGCACCAGAGAAAACAAACAAAAAACTAGCAAAGGTGGTAGTTTTAAAATCCTCTGTAGTTCCTTGTGGAGTATCACACATTCGGGAGATGCTAGATACATACTTGATAGTTCGCACTGATATCAAAACTAGCAGAGGAAGTCCGCAGTGCTGTTCTGTTAGGAGCATCGACATAATCATAGAGAACTAGGGAAGGGGAGGAACCCACAGCTGAACTTAAAATACTTGGAATCACTGGGAAGGTACAGTGTTTATTTTCTCTGCACTGAAAATTTTCAGTGTGAGGCTGTGGATGTAGCTCCCATACATGAAGTTCATGGAAGAAAACAAAGTTATCTTGTTATGCAAAATAAATAAATGTTGAAATAGAAAAGATTTAAACATTAATCCTGCCTTTGGTAGAGAGTCAGTATTTGGGCTGGAAGGCCGGGCAACATAACTGAATCTTATTCTACTCCACATCTCCCTAGACTAAGAGTTCTCAGCTTAGCACTGTTTATGTTGGGGGCTGGCCTGATATTCTGCCTTGCGGGAAGCTGCTCTGTGTAATCCCTAGTCTTAGCTAACCTAATGGCAGCGGTTTCCCCAGCAGTTCTGATAATCAGCAGTGATCCTAGGCACAGTCAGATGTCCTGACAGATACACCACATAGGACAGGACACTCATGGGACATGAGACAGGGATTCTCAGTCCATGACCTGTTGCCCCCTGAAGGTACAGCCATGTTTTTCTCCCTTCTTTCCTGCTAACAATGTATGGGTGCCGCTCCCCTTAGGCCTCCTCTTGGAGGAGGTGTGCTGTGAAGGCAGGGGGACCCATGATCTCTCCCAGGACAAGAACAGCCATGAGCCATATCTTAGCCTACGAGGAAATGCCCTGAAACACGAGGAAGAAGTCTCCCAAAAATGCCATACTCATGACCCAGTGGACAGTCTCTGGCTCCTCCCCACCCTGTGGTGCTGAGAGCTACTCCTGTTCTTGTGTGAGCAGGTCAGTCTGATCTGTCAGTTGTGTCCCCTTCAGCTCTTCTTTGCAAGCTGAAGTCACTTTCCTTCCTCTTTGTGGATTGAAGATTTGCACGTAAATTCATGTTGCTGCATCAGTTTTAATTCCCATCATCAATGAAGCAAGTGCCCATGCATGTCCTGAGTGTCCCACCTTGGGGCACATCAGAAGCGGCTGAGCTGCTTCCCGGCTGGCTCTGTGACCCGATGAGTCTGCATGCTGTGTCACTGTCTCTAGTCTCACTTAAAATTCCAATTTCAATTCCTTTTGAAAATTTAAGTTTACCCCAGTTGAACGTAAAGAAAAATGAACATTCCTGCATTAAAGCTCTCATGGAATTCTTTGTTGTTGTTATTTGCTACCCACACACATTTTTGTGTAAGCACTGGGATTGAACCATTGAACCAGGACCTTGCATGAGCTGGGCAAGTTCTCTACCGCTGAGCTGCATCCTTAGTGCTCTTGTGGAATTTTCTGCTCTTGTGGAGTTTCTTAGGATCCCTATATTGTGGCCTCCTATGAATTTTCTCTTGAACTCTAGATTTGCACATTTATTGAGCATGCGCTCTGAAAACTTCATGACCAGTTGACAGCAGCAGAAAGTGTGGAGCCATGGGTGAGAAGCCTGGTTACACCTAATGAGTTTCCTCACGGTAGCTGATATGACCAGAAGAAAAACAACACAACAGAGGTGGTTTAGAGTTTATGAATTCAGAGAAAAACTTAAAGGAGCTCACACACGAGAATTGAAAAGAGAACTTTTAAAGGTACTTCATGTACAGAACTGAATAAATGCTATGCAGGAAGGGCAAAGCAGTTATGGGAAGTTTCAGCGGGAACATACAGGTCCACGCAGGCGCTAATAAAAAATGAAACTGTCGGTAGGGGTGTAGCTCAGGGACTGAATATGTGCTTACCATGCAGGTGGCCCTGGGTCCAATCTCCAGGACCAAGGGGACAGGAAAATGGAAAAGGGAAAAGAGAAAAGGGAAACTGCCTCTTCAAAGAAGTACAGTAACTGTGCTAGTCCGCTTTCTGTTACTGTGATGAAATACTCAAGACAATCAGCTTCAAGGAGGGAAGAAGCGTTTTGGCTCAGTTTCATTATTTCTGGGCTTGTGCTGAACAGGACATCACGGCAGCAGGGCTCAGCAGACGCCAGCGGCTCACCTCAGTGCAGCCAGGAAGCAGAGAGAAAAGGAAGGGGCTGGTGATGATGGCTCCCTCCAGCACCTCCCAAAACTGCCATCAGAGTGTGGATCCAGTCGGTTAGCCACTCACTTCCCAGAGGCCTGCCTGCTTCTGAATATTGCTGCTTTGGAGACCAAAGCTCCAACACGTGAGCCTAAACCATAACAATAACCTTACGGCTGGTGTTACAAAAATAACCAGACAAGGGAATTTTAAAAAGGAACTGTGCTCAACTTCACTAAACTTGGGATCTTATTTGTATATTGTGTATCCCAAGTGCCTCATATGTTAATACATTTTAAAATGAACTTGACATAGTAGAAAAAGGATGCTATCACAAGGTGGAAAGACTGGATTCTAAAGCATGGTCTTCACAACAGAAGTGAAAATCCTCCTTCATTTTTTTGATATTAACAATAACAGGACAAGCATCAAATCATGCCAATATACCTCTGCCTTGTAGCACAGTTATTGTCAAGAATAAAAGTGGAAGTGAGTGACTCCAAGAATGTGACAATTTCTATCTCTGTGATGTTACAGAGGGCTCTCTAGATCATGAACATTTCAGATCCTCACACAGATACCAAATATCCTGGCACGCACTAAAGGAGGTGCAAAGTCTTAAAGGAGCCTTGATAAAACACAGAATGACACTTAGGGTGTGAACGTGTCCCCCAAACTTGATGCACCACCCAAGTTAACCCCTGCAGGCAGGAGTCAAGGGTGTTCCCACATCAAAGGGCTGGCAGCTCATTAAGCAAATGGCTGCGTCAGGAGGGCGCTCTTTCTGGCCAGCTTGCTGCCTCCCTTGTGGTGCCAGGCACTGCCATATCCCCACCAGCAAGGAGTCTCTCACCTGAAGCAGCTCTTCTTCTTGGGACTTCCTAGTCTCCAGAAGAAATAAATTTAGTTTCTTTATAAATCAGTCAGTCTGAGGTATACAGTTATAGCAACACAACACGGAGCAAGACAAACATGAAACCTTCTCTTCTGAATAAAGCCATGAAGTAGTTACTTTGCCTTATGATATCATTTCTGATAATGTAAGGGCAGAAGAAAAAGTAAAGTGATGATTAAATACCCAGACATCCTAAATAATACAGCAGCCTCAGTATACTTCAAAGAAAATGTATATGCATTTTAATAGGCAAAGTATACTATTAGGCATGTATCAGAATATGAGTTATGAAGTAACTTATAGTAGAAATTTTAAAAAGCAAAAAGTTCACTGGCTGAAGATGTAGCTCAGTGGTAAGAGTTTGCCTAACATACACGAGGCCCTGAGTGCAATCCCTGACACCCCCACCAACTGGCTTCACTAGAAAAGTAACAAATCGTTAAGTCATTCTCAAAATTTAACATTCTCATGAAAGCTGATTAATAAACCAGAAATGTTTTAGTGCTACAACAGTTTTAAGCACAAATAAAAATTGAAAAATGTTACTAAAAATTTTAAAAGGTAAGTTCAAGGCAGAATTGATAGTAGATGCCTATATGTAGTCCTAGCTCCAGGGAGGCTGAGACAGTATTGTGTGAGGTCATGAGTTTGAGCGCAGCCTAGGCAAGTCAGCTGAGATGCTGACTTAGTAAAACAACAAAAGGCAGGTTCAGACACCAGCAAGGAAGATTGGCTGGAATCACTTCCTAAGGTCATTCTCAAAGCCACACTCATGAGCATTTAATCTGCCTAGGAACATACGGATTTGGCCTCACTGACGTTTTAGAGGACTGACTATAACCCTTATTCTGGGAGGCAGGGGTGCAGTGGTCCGGGTGCTCTAGAGAACCAATGGCACATGAAGTTGTGCAAAGGGATCTATTCAGAGGGTTCACAGAATCAGAGGTGGGAGTGTCCACAATGGCCATCTGTGTGCTGGAGAGACGGAGGATGCCGAGCTGCTCAGTCCAAGAGGGATCAGGGATGCAGCCCCAAAAGGCTGGAAGCTCCCTGGAGAGTCAGTCCCTGGTGTAAGCCTGCGTTGGGAGGCTGAAGAGTGTGAGTCTGATGTTCACAGGCCACAGCAGAAAAAGATGCCCTCGATCAAGAAGGATGGAGCTGTTCCACCAGGCCAACTTTCTCCTTCTTCTCTTTGATTCCATCCAGGCTGCAAGCCTATTGGTTGGCGACACCCATAGTCAAGATGGATCTCCCCACCTCCCCCAGTTTGCTGGCCTACCTGCCAGTCACATCTGGAAACACCCCAGAGGCACACCCAGACAACTCTTAAGAACAAATCTGAAAATTCTCATTTACTAATCTGCTAGGCATCTCTTAATCCACTCAAATCGATATACAGTGGTATGTCAGTTTATAAACTTAATCTGTTTTATGATTTTAGGGAAGATGGCTGCATTTGTGTTTGTGACCACATCTGGAGTTTGTGACCTGAAGTGAGATTCTGCAGAATGGTTTCTGTGAACCGAACTGTTCGCAAACAGAAGGGCTTGTACTGTATCTCAATTAATAGTCACAGGGGAAAAGGTACATAGTGGTAATTTAAAATAAACTGAGTAAAGTTTGTTTCCTTTTGAGGATATCATTTCCTTTATTTTTTTGGATAGCTACATATTATACTGAAAAAGTCCTTGAATACCATCAAAAGGAATGTCATACAATATATAGACTATAAACCTAGTGTGGTTTTCTTTTTTTTTTTTTTGTCTTTTGGAGACAGGGTCTCACTATGCAATTCAGGCTGGCCTTGAGCTCACTTTGTAGCCCAGGCTGGTCTCGAACTCACAACAATCCTTCTGCCTCAGCCTCCCGAGTGCTAGGATTACAGGTGTGTGCCACCACACTTGGCCAAACCTAGTGTTATTAATACTCATATTGAACTTTACATTTTTTGACATATTTTTATGTCTCATAATAACTATGTAAATGAAGATATAGCTGGGTGACATGGGAAAAAAACAAGAGCACTGATATTTCCAGTTCACTGAATTGATTAGATTAGTTTTGTAGAAACATAATGTGCATTAAAAGCCAGTACTTCTGCACTAAATGGAAAATAAACATTCTGTCTCTAGTTACGATGTAAGATGCTATGTCCTTGGAAAAGGGATATGCAATAACCAAAATGATCTTGGAAAAGAAAAACAAATGTGGAAGGCTCAGACCTCCAGATTTCAAAACTAAAAATCTGCAATTATCAAAACAATGTGGTGCTGGTGAAGGACTGACATGTAGGTGAAGGCAATAAAATTGGAAGTTCAGAAATAAATTTGATAAATATATAAAATAAATATCAATATGGAGCACTGATATTTGACAAAGGGGCTGCTAATAGGTATGTTTCTTTTGGGAATGACAAAATGGTCTAAAATTAGATTATGGTGACTGCCTAGTTAAGAATATAATAAAAATATTGACTTATAGTACATATTAATAAATTGTTAAACTGTATTGTTAAATTTATACTACATTTTTTTAAAAGGTGAACTTTCTGGTTATATCTCAATAAAGCTATTAAATTTTTAAAAATGCTACATCCTGTTTAGTAATAAATTTTCCAGAGATGGAAAAATATCATAGGTTTCTTAACTTTTCCTTGAAGATTTTGGGGGTAAACTTTCATTACAATAAACATCATCAATAGCAACTTAGATCCATCGTTATTCCTAAGTCTCTTTGCATGAACTACTGTTCATCTGCTCTTGTAGTGGAGTTAAATTTTTTTGGAGGCCCCAGAGAGACAGTGAAGGCAATTTTAAAGACAGAGTTTTTATCTCTTTGCATCCAGCATACTTCAGTGTTGCTGTTAGGGTTAGGCCGCTTCACAAAATGACCACAACTCTACTGCCCACTTCCCACTAAAAATAAGAAAGACCACATAATTATTTCAGCATGTTCATTTTATACATTAGGATGAATTTAGGTTGGAGATCTGGCTCATAGATTAAGGTTATTTGCTACACGTGATTACTCATCAGAGTCTCAGGTCTTGGCAGTAAGCTAGCTACAGGAACATAAAGTTCCTTTCAGTTTGTGATACATTGGGAAGGAGTCAACATGAATAAAAATGACAGACTTTTATGGCAACTTAAACTAGTTATAGTCACCACGAGTTTTTCTCCAGGAAAACATTCTGACTAGTCAATTGGCATCTTGGCCCAGATACACCTTAACTGCATTAGACACCCATCAACAACCAGCGTCTCCCAGCCCACTCTAAGAAATGCAAGCTCGTTCAAATTTAACCCGAGTGCAACATGAACTTTGAACCTGCCACTACAATACATATCACAGTTTGAAAAACACGAATCATTTAAAAATCTGCTCTTTTGTGTGACGACTGGTACATCTGCTTATCAGTATATTTTTAAAAGAGTACCTTTTCTCCTACACACTCAAATCAATGTTTCACTCATTTTCTTCAGTCTTACAGCTTTGTTCCTTCCGAGAATCCAGAAATCTTTAGAAACATCTCATCTCCATTTAAATATCAAGATTAAGAGAAAGAGCGGAGCTAAGGGACCCGAAAGTGTGCGCCATTTAGTAGCAGGTATTAAACATGCATATACTTTTTAAGAGGTGCAAAGGTCACTAGAAAGAAGTACGATGAAAGGTTTTGGCTACTTTTTAAGAACTCCTATCTTGTAAGCAAATATTAACATTACCCTGAACACAACTCTTGTACTAAGAGCCAAAGGTCTCCACGACGCCGTCAGTAATCACTGCCACTGACGCACAGCCGTTTAACTGCAAGCTCCTCGCCGGACACGTTCGAAGTGGAACCGAGAGCGCTCAGAACGGCGCCTCCGCGTCGCCGCCCCCGCCGCCCCGCACGCGCGGCCTGCACCCTGCTCCCGGCTTCCCGCCCGG